GATAATCAATGTTATTCACTTTTCCTGTCAGTGGTGATAATGTTATGGCTGATCGTTATTTATGTATTTATACTGAGATTTTGTAATTAATAGGGAGTTTTCACAGTCAATCCACTCCATGAAATTTGTTTTAGGACTCTTTCCCATCTTTGTTTATCCAAAACTCTGCTTAAGGCGTTACCCTTGCTGGGTGTTTTTAGCATCACACAAATACAATAGCTAGTTGGTTTTCCTAGACCCCGAGCCTGCTTCAATGTAGACTGAATTACCCCCTTAGACATCCTCCAGGTCAGAGTGCCTGTCTTTAAAGCTGGCCATACAATATTCAAATGTTGTCCAATTTATGATGAACTAGCTGAAAATTGCTTAGTGGGTGGCCCTGTCAGCCTCCTCCCATCTAACAACCCTCCATTGAAAAATTGAAGGAGCTGAGCGGAAAATTGCTAGTTCCACAGTGGATGCTGTTTTGGTATTTTTGACTGGTGGTGGGGCCGGCTGTCAAAATACAATGGCTGCAGTAGGCAATTCATCCATCTGTGCTATGTAGCATAGCTGTAGGAATCTTAAATGTTTTCCATTAACCTGTCTGCTGAGAAGGGAGCTCTGGCTAATGCTAGCCATACACTAATAATTTGAACGGGTTTTCATAAACTAACACTTGGTCGTGAGAGCAAACAATATTGCAATCATGTAATGACCGAATTTCAAATGATAAATCGTTTAATGGACATAATCAATTTTTCATCCATTTTTTGATTCTGGGTCACATAGGCGCATTACCAACAGTTCAATTTTTAATGGGCAAGAACACATTAACCTTTCAATTTGTTCGACAAATGTTTTCCAAACTTTTCCTTCGATTTGTTTTTTTTTTTGCTTCAAAAACGTCACTACCAATTTTCAATTTGTGTCCATTAACTGGACGTAAAACAAACGCACTGTTTAAATGAAAGATTTTCAAGCGATATTTCATCTAGTAAGAAGACAGATAAAAACCAAGCGCTAGGTGTCTGTTAGAGAACTGAGGGGGGGGGGGGGGGTGAAGAAGGGCTAGCAGCTGACATAGGAAGTAAACCTCTGGAACTTCAAGTAGTAAATAGACAGTAATAATATGCAGCGCTCAATGCCAAAATTAAATAAATGGATACATAGGTAAAATAAGTTCAGTAGTTATAAACTCAATAACACTCAGATATGAGGTAAAAGATGTAGCTGATCACAGCATAAAGTTCATACAGGATAAAACGTGACTTCCGTGATGCATCAGCAGACGATAAAGTAGGATGCTCGTGACTCTTGTGGAAATTATACTGAGTATAAATTGCACTAACCAGATGCATATGCAGATGAAGCATAGAGTAATTAAGACCTACTCCTAGTACTCTGGAAGTAGGACCTTGGAAAGATGGTTGTCATCTGAAATCCTGCCACTAGATGTCATGTATCCCAGGACAGAGGGATAGGGTTCCATGGATATCAACATCAAACAGAAGAGGGATTATCCAAATTATCAGACAGCAGATGGGTAGGAAATGCTGAGCACCTTCAAAAAAGCCTGGGCTCCCTCAGAAAAAAAAGAGCCCCAGGCCAGAAGCTTTGATAGTGTAGTAGGTTTATTGATGCAAAAAAACAGAAAAATACAAAAACACACTTACAATTTGAATAAGGTTAACGACGGCCATCCAGCAATGGCCATGCGGTATGTAGAGATATCTGGGGGGCACCTCTCTGACGCGTTTCGTGTAATGTACACGTTTTCAAAAGGGATATTTCATCTAGTGTATAGGCGTCATAACTGGAGCTACTCCCTTTAATATGCAACACCCATTTGACCATGAGTCTCTCATCTCATCTCTCAGAGAACCATGAACCAAGGGCTTTCCCTGACAGTATCTGCATCTTTACGCAGTGATAGAGTGTCAGTTGTTAAAATACATACACACACACACTGTTGTGGCACAGTTTTGTATGGTATCCATACATCTCATAATTTTCTAATGTTTAGGCTGTCCTCAGAATAAAACTTCTCACCTATTAATCCTGACAGTTATTTTCATTCTATATCACTTCCTCAAGGGGGCTGGCAGTGCTGAAAAATTGCTGCTCAGATTCCCTAGCATCTCTCCTCTGTGTCACAGTGGTGCGTGGGTATGTCAGCACTTCCTCTGGCATACATGCATTGTCAACCTGTAGGAAGCGCAAAAGCCTTCTAATGTGCAGTACTTTCAGATATCCTCCCTTTCACGCTGCATTTTTACGTGATTCATTTCTTGATTTCACTAAGTCAGTTTTATTAGGCTCCATTCACACTTGTGCAACTCCAAATTCGTGCTATTTCCAGTGCGACTTTGGAGTGCAACTTTGATCCAACTTTACACTTTCTGACACTAAGTCTCATTAAAGTAGCGCAGGAACCTTTTCAAATTCGCTGCTACTTTAGGATGCACAGATCTGAATGGGTGGCATTTAAAACAATGGGCTGCGATTTGTCATGCAACTTTGTGTCCATTGTGACTGGAGCCTTAGACTTAGACACTCCAAAAAATGTTTTCACCTATCAAATGTGGATGTCATTTTTACAAAATCTTGTATGACCTGCCCTAACAACATGTAAATTATTAGCATCTAGAGTGTTAAGAAATCTGTTTTACTGGTACAGATTGTGCAGACACTGTATTAATCTGTGCAAACAATATGAAATCATTTTTTTTATTAACATTTTGGCTGTCCCTGCTCCTCCCCCCCTCCCTATTTTTTTACCCTGGTCAATTGGCAGTTTGTCCATGATCTTGTGTCTCTGAGTCAGCATGGGCGGACCAGACAATCTGTTCTGTCTGTTGTGAAATTTACAGCTATGTCGCTTTGCTTATTTCATTTTCCTTTTTTTTTCTTTTATAAAATTAAAAAAAGTCCTTTTCCTAATAAAGATACAGATTTTTTTTTAAATGGTATAAATAAAAAAGTATTGGAGTGGTTTTGAAAGATTATACCAACCAGTATATTTGTACAGCTTTCTAGAGCACTTTGGAGCGGAGGAACAATATTTTCGAGCATGTGGTTAACTTGCTTTTAGTAGCCCAAATAATTGACTTTTCATATAGCCTGTTTTAGCCTAACAAGTCTCATACCAAACAGTATAGCATGGGATCTCCAAATAAAGGGCCAGTTTACTGTTCTTCAGACTTTAAGTGGGCCGGACTGGAGTCTGTGGGAGTAGAAAATGTCCTTGCGTCAGTGGGGGTAAACAACGCCCCATCTTTAATATTAGGGGGAGAAATGGTTCCCCATCATTGATGTCAGTGGGAGAAATAGTGCCCCATCATTGGTGTCAGTGGGAGAAATGGTGCCCCCTCATTGGTGTCAGTGGGAAAAATAGTGCCCCATCATTGGTGTCAATGGGAGGAACAGTGCCCTTCCACTATTGGTATCAGTGGCAGAAACTATGCCCCATTGTTGCTGTCTGTGGTTGGAATAATGCCCCAAGGGCCAGATAAAAGCGAGCAAAGGGCCGCAGTTTGGACACCACTGCTGTAGAGCAACGTGGAATAGAATAAATAATAATTACCAGATATTAACAATTTATACATATGCGTCTTTGCGTCCGGCCACTTTATTAGGTACACCTGTTCAATTACTTGGTAACACAAATTGCTTATCAACCAATCACATGACAGCAAACTTGGTGCATTTAGGCATGTAGACGTTGTGAAGACGACTTGCTGAAATTCAGACCAAGCATCAGAATGGGAAAGTGACTTTGAATGTGGCATGGTTGTTGGTGCCAGACGGGCTGGTGTGAGTATTTTAAAAAAACTGCCGATCTACTGGGATTTGCACGCACAACCATATCTAGGGTTTACAGAGAATGGTCCGAAAAAGATAAAATATTTAGTTGTGTGGGCGAAAATGCTTTGTTGGTGGGAGGTGAGTAGGCAGATTGGTTTCTGCAACTTTCAGATGGTAGGGTAAAAAATATGGCGTAAACAACATTTTCAAAATGCAAATGCAATGGTGTTCTATACTATGGGATTAATCCTTCCAGACACAAGGGGGTTTATTTACTGAAGCTGGAGAGTCCAAAATCAGACTCCCTTCTGCATAGAAACCAATCCGCTTCTAACCTCAGCTTGCTCAATGAAGCTTTGGCAATGAAACCTGGAAGCTGATTGGTTTCTATGCAGAAGGGAGTCTGATTTTGGACTCTCCAGCTTTAGTAAATAAACCCTAAGGTGTCCATGTGTTGTGTACTATAATTCTACCGTCTATTAAAGTGAGCCTGTGCTTTACCTATGCAGGGCAAAGCAAATGTTTCACTTTTATGCCAGCCCCACCAGTAGCACGAGATTGCCTCCTTTTATTCTCCAGTGCTCTATTCTGCCCTCAAGAATAAAGTACATTTCTCAGTATTTACTGGTATGGGGAGTTTGTGACTGTGTAGGTGTGTGTGTAGTTGGTTTTCTCCCTATGGTCCTCTTGTATGCCAGCCTAATTACAACCAAATAGCCCTTAGTAACTGAAACATGTTAGAATGACTGTAGTATACAATCTAGCCCTAGGACACTACAGGACAGTAGTGTCATAAGGGCTGACAGATAAAACTGCAGGGTGCGATTTAAACCCTTATTTTTGCATTAACACATATAGTGAAAAGTCTATTTTGTGTGTGATATATATTTGTATATAATCTATATTAATGCCTATTCTGTGACCTTATGTATGTCTGGCTTTTTTAAACCTGTGTGTTTATGGGAATTGGTATTTCCTTCCTGATCTTCCTGTGGTATGCCTGTAACAGAGCATACTTTGTGGCAGGACTGAGAATTGGCAGATTGCAGTGTAGAATGATGTGAGCATCAAGTTGACATTAGGCTATAGGAAAGATTTATGACTCTTTGCAGATTCTCTGACTATATACCAAGGACAGTGTGTTAGCTTGTGTGCCATGCAAGCTAGCAAAGTTATATATTTGACATCAAGCTATTTTTGCTTTCATCTTTCAGATGTTGAACAGATGGCCATAGACTGGCTAACGGGCAACTTCTACTTTGTGGATGACATTGATGACCGGATCTTTGTCTGTAATAAAAATGGCGACACCTGTGTTACTCTTCTTGACAGAGAACTGTATAATCCCAAGGGAATTGCTTTGGATCCAACCATGGGGTAAGACTAGGGCATATTAGAGATTAAAAGGTATCTTGTAAAATGTTCTATAATTATTACCCATAATAATGTGACATTAATGTATCGTGCAATTTTATAAAAATGATGACACCATTCTCAATAGTATTTTTTTAGAAAGAAAGGTCAGTCTGTGTATTTGTATGTATGTGTAGATGTATATACTTGTATATATGTTATTGAAAAACATACTGTATATTTTATACCATTTTTCCTTTCGAAAATCTTTCTTTTACAAACATTTTGTTATAGGGCGTATATATGCAATGCATGCTTGATATTCTATTTGTAAAGGCCACCTTTTTCTTTATTGGTGTATTAAAAGGAATGTATAGTCTTTTATTTTTCTTTCACAATTTTTTTTTAATACATAGCAAGATAGATTAGCTTGATATAAGTAATCCTATTAATATGTGTTAATGTTTAAAAACAATTCTGTGCATTATTTGCAATTATGTATGTATACAGGTGCCGTCATGTTTTCTTTCTATTTATGCAGACGATGCATCTTGCTTTACAGTGCTATAAAATTGTTACGTTTTATTGCATTTTCTCCCAACACAAGCCTAGAAGTTGGTCTACTCATTGAAAACAATGCACTTCCTCTTTGGCTTATTTTTTTATATAAACAGTTGTTAAACAGAGGAAAATTGACAGAACTGAGCCACTGGTATTTTCTTTAATGGCTAATCCTAATTCTCTATGTTCAATACAAAAAGTATAAGTCTTTAATACTAAACATGTAGAAATGCGAACGTCTTCGCAAAAATTAGGCAAACTTTAATATTAACTCACTGAAAATATAGTATACATTTCCTTTCAAATGGTCCTCTCTCTGATGGATATAATGGGAGGGTAGATTCAGGTATATTTTTAGGACGAATGCTGTCAGATAATAGAAGGCTCACAACCTGCTGTCTGCAAGTGGTATATATGAAATAATCATATTTAATATTTTAGGCCTTTTTTAAAAGAGACCATGTTTTATCTAAATATGTTTTCATTTTCATATATGTTTAATAAAAAAAAATATTGTAATCCATTTAAAAATTAACTGTCAAAATGTCAAAAATGGAACGATCCAACGGGAAAAGATTTGTTTCCCTGCAAAATCGTTTATGCTGTCCAGCAACCTTTACTGGGAGAGTTGGACTAGTTTCTAAAAACTGATCCCCAGCATGCAGGCATACTTGCTAATCTGTACCTTGCATTATCTATATTTTTAATATTGTCTGTATGTCTTTCCTAGTCTATTCCTCTGCATTGAGGGAGGTGATAAGGTTCTTGCTACCACAGAGGGAAGTGATCTCATTCTCTCACAGGACGTTTTCTGTATAATCTATTCTTCTTCTTTGACAGAAATCTGGTGTGTAATGGGATGGATCTACCCCTCCGTAATCCCCTTCTTTTTTTATCACCCTTTCCTACTTGTTTTAAAAGTACAACTGCCTTATAGGATAAGTTTACTTTAAAAAAAAAAAAATAAACATATTTTTGTGCAGCTGAAGAAATGTGCATTTTTTTTTTGTAGGAGCCTGGAAAGAATTGCTCCCATAATCAGCAGATCGCGGGTGCCATGCAGGACTCATCGTAAATCATATGAGCAGACAGTTTCACACTGACAAGAATCAATGAACTACCAGAGCGTTCAACGGCACCATGGTAGTCCATTGAGAACTACAACTCGCCAGCCATAAAGGCTGTTGGTAGTTGTAGTTTTCACATTGACAGAACTCAGTGAATGAATGAAGTTGCTGGGCAGGCGGAACCCTGCATTAACGTGTTTTTATTACGTTGTGACAGCGAGCCGGATGAGAAGATCACCATTCGCTGTCTCAACAGGGGATTGGGGGGGGGGGTCTGGTGCTACAGTAACATGTTACACCCTTAATATGGGTGTAACATGTTATGAAATGCGATGCTGTAAGAAGGGAGAACACAGGGTAAGACTGGGAAAATACATAATGTTCTATGCAGTGACAGTCTCTACCCTTCCAGTATAGGAGCTTAAAGACATACTAAATAGTGAAGTGTGTAAGTCTACAACCTTTTGTGCAACCAGCAGAGCTGAAGCTGGGATGTCATTGAAGATCCTAGGTCCTGCACTGTGCTTGTACAGCAGCTGAAAGAATCTCTAAGAAAGCCACAAGACACGAACGGGGGAATTCAATAAATCCCTTATGAAACTTTTTTTGTACTATGAATGGCTTGCCCCACATTCACAAATTCACACCACCTGTTTTGGTAGCTTTACTGACACATGCTGCAAATTCCAGTAGTTCTTAATAGTGCCACTTTTATAAAGTGGCGCCATTAATGCACCAAATTAAAACATAATTACCTCTAGTTTGTAGACCGTGAAACTGAAGGTAATTAACATCAACTCTAAGTTGGCATATAGAGACAGGCAAAGTGCGTGTCTCTGTACACTCTGGAGTAGAGCAGCATATTTGCCGCCACCAACCCTTCTACTCCCCACCTGTCACTTGTTGTTAAGAATGCTGTCCACTTCACAGCCACCCACCTCCTAATAAGCAGTGACAATGTAGTCTGATAAGGAAGCGAAGACACTAATTACCCATCAGGTCCACTCTCTCCTTGTGATTGATAACAGGCAGTAGGTGCATTCTATAGCCAATAGCAGACTGTCCATTGGCTAAGGATCTGCACACTTCTTGATGTTGGGGCCTGTTCACACCACAATTTCTGTGTTCCAGATGCGTTTCTGCAAACACATTTTTTGATGTGTTCTGATGCATTTTGCTGCATTTTGTACAGAGAAGATGCAGAACAAATTTTCTACTTTTGTTGATTGTACTGGAACACAGTGCACTGATGTGAACTAGGGCTAGTGCAGTGGTGGGCAACCTTTCTTTTCAACTGAGCCAAATCTCACCAAAACCACGATTGAAATTTATTTTGAGAGCCACATTTTTAAAACTGAAAATACATCCCCCATAGTAATTCATCCCCCATATAGTAATTCATCCCCCATATAGTAATTCATCCCCCATATAGTAATTCATCCCCCATATAGTAATTCATCCCCCATATAGTAATTCATCCCCCATATAGTAATTCATCCCCCATATAGTAATTAATCCCCCATATAGTAATTAATCCCCCATATAGTAATTAATCCCCCATATAGTAATTAATCCCCCATAGTAATTCATCCCCCATATAGTAATTCATTCCCCATAGTAATTCATCCCCCATATAGTAATTCATCCCCCATATAGTAATTAATCCCCCATATAGTAATTAATCCCCCATATAGTAATTAATCCCCCATAGTAATTCATCCCCCATATAGTAATTCATTCCCCATAGTAATTCATCCCCCATATAGTAATTCATCCCCCATATAGTAATTCATCCCCCATAGTAATTCATCCCCCATATAGTAATTAATCCCCCATAGTAATTCATCCCCCATATAGTAATTCATTCCCCATATTGTGTCAATTCACTTACCTTTGCTCCGCGCGTTCCTCTCGCCGTGTTCCCGCGCCGTTCCGGTCTTCAGGGCGGACTGTGAGAGGAGAGGAGTTCGTCACGCTGCCCCGCCTACATCCTGACAGCCAATGTTTGCCACGCTCCGCGGGCCGGATTAAAAGGTCCGCCGGGCCGTAGTTTGCCCATTGCTGGGCTAACTGCAGAGTCCTGACTTTTGGGGCGGCCGCCCGAGAGGAGGGAGGAGAGCGGGCGCCCGGCACACAGAAGAGCCGCATTAAAGTGTGCAAAGAGCCGCATGTGGCTCGCGAGCCGCGGCTTGCTGACCATTGGGCTAGTGGAACACATGGAAACACTGTGTATATGTTTTTGATGCTGACTGCATCTGATGTGAACCACCTCTCAGTCACAAGGGGAGTGGACCTGATGGGGAATTAGTCTCAGTGAATCTCCATTAGGCTCCACCATTAAAAGTTTACTGTTTGAACAAAACTGTTTGACAGATGCTGCAGCAGGAGGAAGCTTGGCTGCACTGAGAACAGAGTGTCCATATAGAGTGTTCAGCTCTTCTTTAAAGTGTTAATAAGGTAATTTTTAAAAAAATAAAAGTAATAAACATGTTATACTCGCCTACTCTGTGTAATGGTATTGCACAGGGTGTCCCTGAACCTCCTCTTCTGGGAATTCCCCCCCGTGATCTTGGCTTCTTATCTACTTCATGGGGGCACACAGTGCATGCTGCACTCCATAGGCACACACATCAGGGCTTAGCCCACCCCACACTTTCTCCTTACTGCATTTGATTGACAGCAGCAGGAGTCAATAGCTCCTGCTGCTGTCTGAGTCCCTGTGTGAAGAGGAAGAGAGCGGAAAAGAGATGCGCCCGTGCACAATGCTGGATCTCTTCTTCCCTCTCTTACACCTCACACAGGGAAGTGGAAGAGCACATTCTTTTTCTATAATTTTAACTGTGTTTTTTTCTTACTCCAATATTTTCTAGTTTTAGGAAATAACAAACAATATCCACGTAATCCAGGGTGTGCTTTTGAAGTTTGGAACCCCTCCCTCTGATTCCCATTGCATTTGAATTAATAAGATCGTTCTCAAGTATGTAGCAAAACAAATTGACACAGCTGTGTTTAGGTACATGCCCCTACTACTCCTAGCTTTACAACTTGATAACTTAACTTAAAATAGGGCAATAAAAATCAGTAATAAGATTACTGCCTTGGAACATCATTAGCTTTATATGTGAGTGTGCGTTTTTATGTTGATTTCCCTATAATGATATTGAGCAATTAAAATATATTAAGCAATCCTAGATCAACAATGCCAAATGACCTTCTCTAGCAATTTTTTGTTTGAGTTTGTTGGCCCGGTTGTGCTGAGTAGTTAAGTTTGGTCAGTGATCACAGCCAAGAACTCTGTGGTTTTAGGAAATGTTCCATATGATGAGATGTCAGACCTTGCCTTAGGTGAAAGAAGAATGACCTACATGAGAGTCAGAAATGTTGAGCTGTTGGAAT